AGACGTAAACCGAAACCTTGAGTCATCATAGATAATTTTCGGTACAATCACATTGACATTGAATCACAATTTTTTCCCTCTTAATGCTATCAAACAACGCGTGAGATGTTGTCGCTTTCCTTTTTGCTTCGTGCTATTTTCTCTCGTTGGATGTTTTTTTTTGTGTGTACTTCTTTTTCTCTTTTTTTTTGTGAGAAATGTGAATTTCATTGAAAAGCAATAAATGGAAAATTGTTTTAACATGAATCGTAAAAGCTGAGAGTGTTGTACCCTTCTCGTGTGCAGAACGCATGGAAAATCACTGTCATCAATTTGACCTCAGAACGAATAAAACACAGCCGCATGGAATACGACAATGTCTCCAGAGTGGGAGAGAGAGATAGAGTGGTGAAACATGAGAAATGGAATTCTTTTCTGTTAGTTTCTGTATTCTTGTCATCAACGCGAAAATAAGGGAAAAAAGAAGAAGTGATTTTTTGCCTTTTTTATGTTAAAAGAGAGCCCAACGGAGCATTCATTCATGTAATTCATATAATGTCACTTTTTCACTAAGGCCGATCATTGAAATCATTCCGAAAGCATTCGGTATCTCGAACAAGAAAAAGAAATGGCAAGAAAACATGCACATCCAACTTTGATTCGTATGAATTCTATGACAGTAAAACTAGTTATAAATGAGGATTTGCACAGTTTGACATTGGAGTGTGAATATTCGTTGCGCGTAGTACGTGTGTATAATTCATTTCTCGGTGTGATGTTATATGGTTTGAAGTGTTGTGTGGCTTTCGCATTTTGTGAGTCTGTTTTTTCCTCGCTTAGAGAGTGTGCTTTGAATGGTCAGTTTTTGTTTTTTTTTTGAATCACGATTTACCACAAGATAAATGGATGTCGTGCAGCAGTTAACATGAGAAAGGACCGCACACATGCTTGTATGTTGGTGTATTTGAGTCTTGTTTCGGATGATGTTTTTTTCTTCTTGCTATTTATTAGCAGATTATCGCACACGCAAGAGAACAAAAAAGGAGGGAAGCAATCATTACACAACATAAGAGTGCGTCTTGCACATTTCCGCCCGAAGTTTATGACGGAGCTTGAACCCCGTAAAAAAACCAACCGAATTTAATATGATTATACGTGTTCAAATTTACATTTAAGCGAATAATTTTGCGGATTTTGGGCGGTTGCATCCATGTTTGCAAAATAATATCATGATACATAAAGCTTATGTACAAAGGGCTTTGGTCTCATTTGATATGATATCATAAAATCATAAAAAGCAAACCAATGAACTTGAAGCGTTCAGATAAAATCGCTGAATTTATTCACTTTCACTTGAAACAATTCGGTGCTCGTGTAACAAGACTGAGTCGGCTTACATTTCTCACTGTGTCAATTTAAACACTGTATATTCACCCGCTTTTATATATCGCAAGCCATTTTCAACGTTAACTTGGAATAAATGGATGACCGCAACGCTGCTGTATCGAATACATGAACATCGAATGGAGATATTTGTATAACATTGTAAAAAGGGGACAGCCGGCTGAAGGTGAAAAGAATCTGCGAAACATGAGTATAAGTGACATTTATTTGGCGTCGTCTACCTAAAAATAGATGCGACGCATTGCGTGTAACCGTTTCTCAGCTGAAAAGTATGCGGGTAATATGTGTTGTTCACAACTTGTCGTGGAACATTGTGTTTCGATTGAATATTATTCTCATGCGGCTTACATTCATCTTTTACCGATATTGGCTAGCCAAATGTTTGACTTTCAAACATATTTGAAAGTAAATGCGTACAGCAGTTACATTGTTCACCCCTTTTTTGTCTCTGCCATTTTTATCGATGGCAAATTATATACAGTATTGATTTATTTCAACCAAACAATACCGTGCTTACCCACCTGTTTCGAGAACAATAAAAATCCTTTCAAGACCAATAAATTCTTTAACACATTACCCATTTTTGTCGCTATAGTGTCAAACGCATCTACTTTAATGGTTATCCATGGGTGATGGTGTTGGACAATTGCACCAAAAAAGCCATTCGAATTATTTTACAGCTCTCAATCGTGGCAAAGGTTTAATTTTTATGCTTCTTTTTTTCACTTTGTGTCATAAAAGCGATTTTTCGTTCCCAGGCAGGTGTACAGTAACACAGAAAAAATCGTTTCTTTTTTTGTTGCTGTCAACTATGTCATAAAATGAACTATGAAAGTGAGCCGCAACGGTATAGCAGGTAAAAAATTGCGAAATCGATTCGGATGCGGAATTTAAAAATGATTTTTTTATTTTTCTTGTGTTTGTGTTTTTTTCATTACATTTTTTGCATCTTTTTCATTCACAATATTCTTCAATTTCCGTTTTTTTTTTTTCATTTCTCGGATACGATGAAAAAGAAACTTTCCTTTTACTGTCGAAGAAATGTGTTGAACATTCCAACCATTTCTATCCGAAATTGAATTTCATTTTGAACATTTTTGTCTTCCCATTTTAAATATTACTTTTGGCCAATTTTGCATTTATATCCAGTAAACGTGTTGTTTTTTGTGTTCTTTTGTATTCAATTCATATTCGAACCTGATTGAATTTCATGATGATATTGATGGTATGGAATAAGCTTCACTTAATTAAGCACAGTAATAGTCGATAAATGAAAATTCCGTGTTGAATGCTTCCAAACACTTTTAATGAAAAGAGACACTATATGAAGTGATGTATGTTCATCACATCAATAACAATGACTCAGTACAAAATTGGCTGGGATATGCATAAAAACAGCCAATCAACATTGTTTGTTTCATATCTTTCTCTCGCTCTCTGCCGTACAAAAAGCCGTAATAGCTGATTGCATTGGCGGTATTCTACAAATTACGAGCGAAAAACCACATTTGGTGAGTGCAATTAGCTGGAGCGGGCTAGAAAAACATCACAACACGTATTGGTGTGTATGCGTGTGTTTGTGTATTGGTTAAGTAAAATTAACACAATAAGCAGAACGTTGGAAGGAGGAATGATTTACGCAAACAGATGAAAATAACGTATACTCGTAATGTGTTCCGTATGTGGCAAACTGATGGAAAAGTGAAGTGTTAGGTGAGACGAAATGAGTTTTTGAGCCTCAACTGAATCAACGGGTCATTTGAATGTTTGAAATTGGATTAAGCTCAAAAGCATTTCATCTCATCACACGTCAAATGTTGTAGTTTTTACCAATTTTCCAAAAGTTGAATAAACCATCTCATTCAATAGACGCAATAGCGTGTGCACACATTCCATAGAGATAAAGTAAGTTAATGTGTGTCCGCCACAATAGAAAAAATGAGCTGGTTTATCTCTGGCAAATATTTACGTAGTTTTTGCTGTATTTGGTTAATTTTGCTGTGTCAAGTAAACTAAATTACTGGTTTTAGATTGACAATGATTTCACTGGCTGTATCTATTTTGTGTATATCGTCCGTAGATCGTTGCGTATGGCAACAACTTTAATTTATTCATCATCATCATCATCAGCAACAGTAGCAGCATGTCATTTGCTAAAGCTTTTTTAATTGGTTTTTTAATGTGTGTGTTATTGACTTTTATAGTAAGTGTACAAAGGGACAGAGACAGGCAGAGAAAAATTAGAAGACGAGAAGTACAGCAAGTGGTAGTCAAACAGAGAAGAAGAGAGATAAGTGAAAAGAGAGTCCATTAAATCATTGAATTGAAAAGAATGTCAAATCAAAAGATCGGTATTTATGATACGAGGTTTCGGTGTCGGGGTTAGAGTTGAATTTGTTTCTTTCAATTGGTTCGCCATCATGCAGTATCTATTCATATATGCCAGCGATAAATTACCAAGCGATAACGTGTTGAACATATATTTAGTTTTCTTCATTGTTTTCAAAAAGTGTTAACAACTATCTATTGTGTATCAGTTATTGCAATCTCGTTTCCACATTGTTAATGGATGAATTGAATGAATTGTATGCGCAAATAGGTGTCGAAATGTGTTTGTCGCATAATAATCAATTCAGTAATGGTCGAGATGCTAGCGGCAACATACCATTGAAAGAACAATGCAACAACATAAAATGCTGCACTGCACATGCGAGAGATCGACTATCAAAAACAAAAACGGCATGTGTGTGCGTGCACGTAGATAAATTACCATTTCAAGCGTTCGACCGTTGCCAAAATTATTATTGTTACAATTCATTGATTGAGTAATATGAATGCAATGTGTGCTTAGCTGACAATTGTCGCCCATTTCCCAAGCCTCCAATACAAATCAGTTTGATTGGATTTTGTTTTCCTTTCGCCGAAGGCATTTCCACACTTCAATCGACTATAAATGCAATGCACTCATCATTATCTCAATCGAATTTCAAACGAGTTGTATATTGACTTTTGACATTTTGAGCGTGTGTATCAAAGCAATTTAAAAGTTTAAGCATTCACTAATTAGGTTCATACCACGTTTTTGGAATGTACAAATACACACGTGCACACAGCAGCACATGCATAGCTTTTATGCTGAGGTGAAACAAATGTGTTAGAAATACGGTTTCAATGAGCATGAGTGTGTGACGGTAAATAGTTCGGCATTCATTGTACGTCTGCACGACGATGACGATATACGTAAAACTACATTCACAACTTTTGCAAATGATTTGCCATAAACTTTGTAGCCATTGTGATTTGGTTAGACTTGCCAGCAAACTTGTCATTGTCGCAACTTTGACTCTCACTTTGAATTGGTTCCATAGTGCAACCGATTTGGTTTCGAGAGAGCAAGCCATCGAACCGGCTAACAGGAAGTGAGACCAAGTGAAGTAGAGTGAATTGTTGCGGTTATTTACTCGAAATTGATAAACTTGTTGCGTCAAATCAAAGTTTTCCAATCGATTTCTACCTCTCAATGTTGTTCGTCTTTTTTTTCACTCTCAATTGGTGCAATCGCATCTGAATTGAAACGAAAACTAATTTCATTTAAACGATTTTATATTTATTTGCAGGTGAATGGCATGACATGGGCTCTTCCGAATTTTGTTTGTGATTTTTATATAGCAATGGACGTAATCTGTTCGACATCATCAATATTTAATTTAGTTGCCATTTCAATAGACCGGTAAGTTGAATTTTGTTTTTTCCTTCCTCCTTTTTTCGTTCAATTTTTGGCTATAGATTTTAAAAGTAGCGCACAGATCACATTTACTGTTTCTTAGGCAACAATAACTTAAATTTAATCCCATATTTCCCTATATAGAACATCGAATTATCGTACGCACGTAATACGGGCATTTAATGGTTTTGCAACCATTTTCAGGGATCAAAGCATACCAATAAATCTCCATAAGCCAAAAAATATGATCGATATTGCGTAATGTATTAAATTATGGTCATTGACATAGTTTGTGCGCCGGAAATTTAATACAATATCGCATAAGCGATGATTTTTCGTACAATAAAATTCTTGTACGGCCATTGCTAACAAAGCACAAATCACAAAGGATTTCAATCCGTGGATAATCTAATTCGGTATGATTTCAATTCACTGAACATTGATGGCGACTGATATCATATGGTTGAAGATCCGTTTGTGACATACACACGCAATACATAACTGAAAATATGCTCATTGCTGCTATGTCCATGCGATCAATAAAATCTCTGCAATTTCATTTTAGTGTCATTGTCATGGGCTGGCACATGGTTTGCGTGCGGGTTTGGTCTTTTCTCTCTAACTTTTTTCCCGTCGTCTTTTTACATATGAATAAATGTCCTTTCTATTGAGCTGATCTCTGTGCACAACAATGGCAAGCCATTGCATGTCACACGATGGTTTTTATGACCAATTATTTTTCCAGAGAGTCTATTCGCCATGGGATGAAAATTTATTGCATTATACAATACTAGCAGGAGATTTACCGTGGAAAAATAAGCTTTTAACATGATTTTTTGCATTTATTTTGTGCGAAGCTTGACTCATCAACGAGCATTTTCCATTTGGTGACTGGTGACTATTCAGATTATTATTATCATCATCAAAAATGAATGCCAAACATTTCCGCACGATTATAATAATCCAATGGGAACACTATATTCGACCGAAAATGTTGAACCAAAAGCTACTCTCATGAAGTCAAAACACAATTGCATTGTGATGGACCACATTTATCATGCAAATTAGTAACACAATTTTTTAGAGAATTAATCGCTTTATCCATGTTCATGAGCATAGATTATTCCATTTATGTCGTGTCTACACATTTTAGTTCGGGCAAATGGTCACAACGAAAAACCCCGAAATTTCAGATTATATCAGTGGACATTTTATGTTTGATTGTGATCGTGAATCTATTCAAATACAAAACTGTAATCCTGTAGTAATTTTAGTTGTTGCATAAAAATGAATACCATCGATGAAATTCAAAGGTGATGATGGACTCCATTGTCGAATTAAGTTTCATAAATCATGAGCTTGGACATAGATATCTTCTTTGTCAAAGCAAAAGAGACATGTCTATCTCCGGTTAGATAAAAGAGAAAATATATATAGAGAGAGCCAAATCCAATTCGCATTTAAAAAGTATAATGTCGTAGGCTGTAGACTCATTTATAATTCATGGTTTACAGTGATTGTCGTCGTCGGCAAATGCGACGGCGGCGACATTGAAATGCTCACGTGTCACATCATTTCATCATGCACCGGATGAACAACAGACTTTAATTACATTTTTAGATAAAATTAGATTAGATATACTTTTTTTGCTTTTGGTCCCAAAAATATAGCATAGTGGCATCAATTTCAATTCCCCCAACGATAAGGTTCGAGACATTCAATCATTTTCAGCTGTTTTATATACACTTTTTTTTTCATTCAGTTGATAAAACGCGCACAATTCGAATTATGTAAATGAAGACAAAAAAGAGGAATGAATCAACATTTTATGCATAGGCATAAAAGAAGCGAATGAAGGAATAGCAAAATGCTTTAATTTATTATAAAGCTGATGCGATTTTATTGTTGTCAAGTCTACTATGTGTGTGGTAGATCAAACATGTGATTGCTCCAGAAGCACTTAAAAAAGGGCAAGAAAATTTCGCATAGAATGGAACATTCTCTACAACGTACATAATTATTCTTCGATAATTCATTTCAAAATTATCGCTTCGACTCATTCGCATACCAGCCCGAACATTCTGCCACTCTCAATACAAGAATAATGAGTAAGTGGCAAAAAAGCAGCCAGTTTTTTGGCGAAACAAAAGCTTTATTGCTGCCATTGAGTCACATTGTACGTATCACTTTCGCTTTCCGGCAGCTGCCGCAACACTGTCGCACGATAAAATCGTTTGTCAAGAGATTTCTCTCTCTGTACTCATAATTATTATTAATGAATGGCATCCAATAGCACGACAGTCTTTTAATTGAAACAAATTTCCTGTGCGTCAAGTGGTCTTTTGTGAGTTTTTGAGCGAGAAATAACTTTTAGTATTTGCGCTACACAGCGAATATGAAAATGAAAGAAAAAATTAAGAAGAATGAATGTCGTCACTTTCACAATTCCTCAAGACCGAGAAATCTTTTATGCACATAAAAACATTTCTCGATAATGACTTTTGACGTAACCGCTGAAACACTACAACAATCATAAGAACACTCTCATCAATCTATTTTTAAAAATATAAACAAAGAGAAAATGAAACCAATGCGAATGCAGAATCAAAAGCGAGACACATGTCTCTGTTCATCAAACAGTTTTGCAGCCATGTACCGCCACATATATGTGTGTAAGTCTCTTAAGTACGTACTTGGTGCGAGCAAAAGGAGTGTTGAAGGATGGCAAAAAGAAAACGACAGACAGATATTTACAATAATAAGATTTGATTTAAAACCGTAATTATATCTTTGATTCATTGATTTTTCAATGAAAATCAAGCAATTTAAATTATAAGTCTCATTTCAACAAATTGAATATAGCTTCAATAAAACGCTTTAATCAATTATATTTTGGCAAATGTGTGGGTGAAGGTGGGGAAAAGAGAAAAGGATGATTAAAATATACACCTTTTTCCCTTTCATTCTGCATTCAAGTACACAGGTGCTTCACATTTCACAGCTTCACTTCATTGACTGTGCTCCATCAGCTGAATTCAATAACATGTCAAGTGGATACTCTCTGCTCACCGTTCATTCGCAATGATTTTTCATCGTTTCTCTCACCACTCTTCTCTTCGGCGATTGTTGATGAAATCAACGTTTTGATTTGAGAAAAATGTTTGCGTCATAATAAATCGATTATTCAGGTTCAATTTCAGCAACCCCGGCTCTCCTTTATATTCGAGCATTTTTTTTGTTGTGTATTCCTTCAATTTGAAGTAAAACCTCTCATACATCATTAATATGAAAAAAGAACATTTGAAAAATGACCATGCCGAATGACGAATAACGAGATGAATGGCCTTGTAAGGGAGAGCAAACGCAAACAAAAAAGATATCTGGTGTCAGTCGGGAATTTTTTTTTATATACATAACTGATGTCAGTAAAATAGATAAAAATACATGACTGAAATGCATAAATGAATAAATGCGCGCATTTAATTGAATTTGCTGAAGTATTTATTGGACAAGAGATCGATCCATTTGGTAGCATTTCATTGCTATTCATGCCATCAATCGTCCAGTATACATTTATATCAGCCACATGTAATCATGATAAATTATTATTTTCGATGTTTGTACCGGACTCTCGCTCTTTGATCATATTGAGCATTATAAATTGAATGGCTTTGTCATGCAATACAAAAAATTGCCCTCCCTCCGTCTACTCAAATAAAATAACGCCACTGAATAACCGTGCTACCTCCATTCTGGACATCGAATGATAAACATAGAGTTTCAATTGTTTTTTTAGTAAATTTGTTTTTTTTTGCAATATTCTCATTTAACATCGACATGTCCATAAAATATTGGACGAGCTTATCAATTTTCCTGCTAACATCCATATTTTTCTCAACAAATTGGACAACATACATACAATTTATTTTGAACATTGACACCCACTTTACTTTCTCTTTTATGCCATTTCAGATATATAGCCGTAACACAACCGATCAAATATGCAAAACATAAAAATAGTACACGCATATTCGTTACCATATTGCTGGTGTGGGCCATATCGATAGCAATCGGATCACCAATTGTGCTCGGTTTAAACAATACACCGAATCGAGTGCAGGAAATATGCGGTTTTTTTAATACAAATTTCATTATATTTTCGTCATTAGTCAGCTTTTATATACCATGTATTATCATGATATTTTTGTATTGGAGTATTTTTAAGGTAAGTGTGTGTTCGCACATTCAACAGTGTCTGTTGTTTATATTTTTCATTGACTTTTTTACTGGACTTCATTGACACCGTTTGCTTGCAGTTGATCAAAGTTTTATGTCACTTGCCCATCTTTTATTCGAGCGCAATTTTCGATGGCGAATGTAGTGATGCGCGCAAACAAACTTCGTTTAAAGCTCATTTAATTCAATGAAATCGTTGTGTGCTTGCGTGCATGCTGGTAAAGTATATTTTAAAGTTAAATACGGAAGAAAAACCTTCGGCCAATCGATAGCATCAGAAATTCACACATACAAAACCAATGACATCAGATTCACAAACTTTATTTGACATGCATTTCTGAATCGCTTTGTTGGTCGTTTTTCGTATTGATTATTTACAACGTTTTTCCACCAATTTTGATCAAACATGACATCGTTCGAGAAAAAAAAACTTTCGTTTTAAAAAATATATATATTTTGAATGTTCATTTTCTCTCACAAAAAAATCACATCAAATATATATATCATTTCGCATTGTTAATGATTATTGCGGTGAAATGTGAAGTTTTTGACATTTTCATCATAAGAAAAACGGAGTAAAAAATGAACGAAAATCGCTACCGCAAACGAGAAAAACGCAAACACACACACACACACACATCGAACCCAACTCGAAAATGGAAATGTTGAAAGTTTTACAATATGATGATGATACGCGTGAATAATGAATTGTGTTGAAATTTGTTGAATTCTATTTTATCCTTGCTACGGTTCGGTTTATATTCTATCCCAAGGGGTAGACTAGTTTTAAGATTCATTAAAACTGGTTATTAAAAGACTCAAGATTCGTAAAATGTCAAAGAAGAAATGACATCATATTTTCATTTAAATAAATTCAAAGAAATTAAAAAAAGGTTTGAATTAATTTAGGAATCGAAGTAATCGATCAGAATGCGTATTGTATACGTCTCAAGTGTTTCATGTGTCATTTGGCTTCGAAAAAAGGTGTGACATTCAAATTGAATTCGCCCCCTCTCATCAGCATGGCAAATATCAACATTTTCATGAGAGGTATGCATATTTTGAGAATTTTACATACAAACTATTATAATGTAATATGTATGCACTCATACATTGTATGGCAGTATATAAATGTTGCAACAAGTTTACACTTCTGACTATGGCAAGCAATATTCTGAAGAGAGTTATTTGTTGCCAGATATGTATATAATGTATATGCTCGAACAATTTGCACACAAGAAAATAATAGAAAACGAAATAAACTCGTAACTTATCCACATGAGCCACCAGGGGTGTTTTTACTGTAAAGACATGAAATTTGCACGTAATCTATTTCCTTCCAATTTTGACTGAAAATGTCTTTATATTGTTCTGGAATCTTTGTCGCATATATTGTATAAATGCATACGACGTACAATGTAATTATTCATCAGTTTCGAAGAGCTTCGTTATTACCATTTCGATTGTATTCTCTCAATTACAAATAACCACATTTGAAATGTGGTGTGCAAAGTACACACAGCACACATACACACACACACACATAAAATCAATATGAAGATATATCATTTTAAGCAATTGAGAAAACAAGAGCGCTATAATCATTGGTCTTTGTTGAAAATTGAAAAATGTCACCCCGCAATGAATAATCGAATAGCAAATTGATCTTTATTAATGCATTGCCATTTCTTATCTCAATCACAGTTTATGCATAGATTTGACCAATTTCGTCGATATTAATTTATTCCGTCTTTGTAGTACTGTGTGAATGAGGTTTGAGTGAATTACGAAACATTTGCACACATGATTGCCATTTGCGTTTTATCAGGTTGAAGATTCATTCCATTAACAACCGACCATAGGACCGAACTCAACCATATTGTTGATGTTCATCTCAAAAAGGCAATTTCATTCGAAATGGTAAAATCGGTACAAAGTAGCTTGAACACTATGCAGAATTGCAGACACAAACAACAACAAATAATGAACATATGTGTGTAGCGTGTCACAATTATAAAGGCGCATAATACCAACTGCATACATTATATGTTTGTTGATTTCCAAATGGAAAGCAATCTACAACTCTGCAAGTACACACCACACGCACACCCTGGCTCAAGAATAATGTGTCATACCAACCATATTATATCCTTTTGAATAAATGTATTAAATGCCAACAACTGAATCACATCAAAGTTCAAATGAATAAACATGTCGACTGTGTTGTTCAACGAATTGTAAATATAAGTAAATAAATGGGCTTTCCACTTTGAGACAACGAGAAAATCATGTCGAAATACAATATAATGAGATTTTCGACGTTACGCACACACATGTATGTCAAAAACTTAAGAGCTTGTTTGTTGGTTTCACTTCATTTGACAACGGAATGGACTGGGCAAGTGCATAAAGCAGAAAATTACTGCAATCGAAGGAAATATCCCGTCAATTGATGTTTACTTACATTTTTATCATGTTTTCTCTTTCTCTGTATTTTATTCTCTCGGTTTTTTGTTTTGTGCACGATTCTATTGTCATATATTTGTTGAATATGGCAGGCACTTAGCTTACGAGCGAAAAAGCAAAGAGCAGCTAAAAAACCAAATTTAACAGATTTCGCAACTGGAGGTAGTGTCATCGAAAATATCGCTCAAACGAGACGATTGGCTGAAACAACGTTAGATAGTAGTAAGAGTGGCTCAAAAATAATGCCGGATGATGCACCAACCAATACGGCGTCCGGTTCAAACGAAGACGAAGACGAGAATGCTGCATCACCCGATCCCGATGTAGACGATTGTCATGTAATTGTTAACGACAAATCGACAGAATTCATGCTAGCGACAGTTGTCGAAGAAACGGGGAAGTAAGTACAAGTGAATGATAAAAGAGAAGAAAAGAAAATAAATAACAACACATACACATACACATAGACACGATATAGAATAACGAATTACAAAACCTTTCAATAGATTTGCAATAGCGCTATTAGGCTATTGTGCTTTTTTTATTGTACTATTAATTTTCAATTCAAACTACGCTTTATCGCATGTTTACAAGCCAAAAACATGTTATTTTCTTTTGCCATTACACAATATAGATCTTTTTCTCTATCAAACAACCACCACATATTTATATTTTACAAATTGTTTGCTGTTATATAATAATCCTGAGTGCCGAACTTTTTTCCAACAATTATTCATTTTTTCATTTCTTTTGCATTTTCTATATTTCTTTCTTTTTCTCTTCTCCTTCTCTGTCGCATCTAAAAAAAATGAATGCTTTCTATTTTCAAAACAAAACTAAACAAAAATCTCAAACCGCAAAAATGAATCCATTCAAATAAATACAGTACTTATAGTGTTGTGGCACAAATCACGACCTCGCCGTCACAATGCGTCGTTATGTCGGCAGATCCAAATGGAAACCATGATTCGGGCTATGCACCGTCAAATATTGAAGATGCTGTTGCGGGCACAAGTACACCACCAGAGAGTCCACAACATCGCAAACGCACCGACAGCGGTGGGACTCTAAAACGCAGCAGCTTAAACAAACGTAATGGAATTGACGGCTCACCGAAACGTGAAGCAGTCAGGTAAAATTGAATAAATTCAACCTACACCATTCGATGCACGTTCCTGTGCATCTCTGTTTTTTTCTTTCTCGCATTGTACACTGATTTAAATGCATTGACTTAACCAAACCGATTTTGCAATGCATCTTTTTTCTTTTGTTGGCTTCCAGCATGGGAATGAAACCATTATCGATTGTACGGTATGGAGTACAGGGTGCTTTGTCACTGACACGAAACGATTCCACTGTATCAACCAATTCACGGGGATCGCGTAAGGACAAGAAAAATTCACAAGCATCTAGGTGAGTGCAAATCAAGTTTGACTATTTGTTTTAATAATAGCCAAAGTATTTGAAAAGAAACCAAAACCAAAAAAAAACTGCAGAAACTTTTCAAAGAAAACTAGTGAAAAAAAACAGGATTACTTGTTATTCAACACAAAACTTTTGTCTGTCATTTTGTTTTTCTATTAAAACTTTTTGGAATCCAATAACAGAAAAAATCCAAAAAAGAACTCTCTCTCTCTCTCAATTTATCTTTTACTATTTTAACTCTTTGTATTATTTTTCTTTAAAAAAAACATCTCAAATCTATTTCTCTTTCTCTTTTCTCATTCGAATCGATATAAAAAACGATTTACGATATATTTATTGTAAATGACACACGTAAAGAGTGAGCGGTAGTTTTGTTGCGATTACAAAAATGTCTCAGAATCTTTCGTAAGTTAAATTGTATCATCATAATAAACTATCCAGATAGAATAAACACGAAAACTTTAGTAAGTTTCACAATACCCACGCACTTGCCTATTGAAGCATCGTATTTTTCCCAAAATAACTTTGAACATAATTACGCACACTCACACTCACATAGACACCAATGGAACACCAAATCCAAATCGGCTCTTGCACATAATAATCACATCTCACTGCAATCATTTTTAGCTGATGCCGTTAGCCACCTATATCAGTCTGTGCGTCTGTCTGTCTGTCTCTGTCTCTGTCTCCTTGCCACCTCCACTGATAGCTGCGATATTTTTGATTTCAAATCCATTCCATTGGACTACGATGTCAACGGAATATTTTATACATATCGATAATTTCGCATCATCGAATATGAAAGCTAATAAAATATGAATTCAAGATGACAGTCAGCAATGTCAAACCAACCGAATAACTTGAGGCAATCGATGTTTAATTAAGTGCTGCGAACGTGTTTGTCTCTCTATTATGCCATGGTTGTGACTTTTATTTCCCACCGGAGTTTAAAAATCTAAAATACTTTTCGCCCAGTTTGTTTGTTTTTTTTTATTTTGATTGACTTGTGACCTCAAACGATGGTAATGCTTTGTAGTCATCGAGTTTTATTAGACAGTTCCCAAATGATCTTACTTTTCTCATGCAATGTATAAATAAATGAATAAATTTTACCCAAATGCTGAGTGTCCCTTTGATATTTTGATGTTTCTCTGTGTCACATTACATGAACGATTGAATGACATCGGAATTTGTTGCATGTATACTGTTGACCCCATCCACTATCCATCTCTAACAACTGGTTAAAATAATAAAAAAAGAACAAAATACGTGACATAACTGAATTTTTGTTTTTCTTTGCCATATAATACAAAAAGCGAAATATTAAAATCGAATTCAAACATTTTCTTCGTTTTTAGACCGACATCTTCACTTCCTGTCGTGGCAGAGGATGATGAAAGGTTAATATTTTGCCAATCTTTTTGACCCAAAACAAAATCATTTTTATTCTAATTTTTGCGAAAATAGAAAAGAAACCAGTGATGGTTTTTTCCTTTCTGAATAGCGCTAGCTATTCGCAGCTTCTGTACAGCATTGCTGCCCAGATGCTGAATCGAAGCGGTTGCCGCACGCGTTTTGTACCACACAACATATTGTCATATAGTCTAAGTAACCAGTGAGCTCACAGAGTATGATACACTAATACCATAGTCAGTATACAAACGCATGTCGAACAGAGAACGAACGCGAACGTATATGCTCTGTGTGGTACAAACGAAGTGTGTTGCGCGTGCGGCAACCGCTACGATTCAGCATCTGGGCAGCAATGCTGTACAGGCGCTGCGAATAGCTAGTGCTATTCAGATAGAAAAAAACCATCACTGAAAGAAACTCAATTCCATTTCTTATGAGTTCCGTACTTTTGTTCAAAATATTTTTTTTTAATTTTTTCGTACATGCATCCTTACGAACAGAAGAAAAATGTAACAGTTATAAGAAAAACACAAATTCATTTCCCGTAGAAAAAAAATGTTGTCGTTTGAATATTCGATATGTGTTTTTGCATATTTTTGTTATTACTATATTTTCGATTGATTTTACTCAAAAATTATACATGTAGAATTGCTAACAAATCAATGTATTTTCATTTTAATCATGTTTGATTTTTGTCTCTGATACGTGAATGTAAGATATATAGAAGAAACCATTACAGTTGAAATGCTGATTTATCGAGAAAAAAAAAGAACCTGTGAAAGGGAAAACACAGAACAAAACGGGCTGACTAATATGTCCCCCAACTTGTAAAAAAAAATCATTTACTTTGATTAATTAAACTCCGTCGAAAAGATTCAAATTTATTTGTTGCTACGGGTCGTTTATAATAAAACGTTTTTGCCGCTGTTATTCAGCATCAAAGTAGACAAGATAATTAAGCATTTCTTTAAGCTCGGTCATGAAAAATCCATTCCATCTTTTTGACCAGTGTTCACATAAGAATGATTAAATGGAAATTTCGTTTATATATTTCGGTATCTCATGATGTTGTTATTGGTTGTATGTTTAGCACATTTTTTTTGCATCGAATTCGGTCTGTTGAACATTTGTGTTTTGTTTCTTTATTTTCCTCTTTCCTTTTCCTTCTGGCATGAAACTTAGTCACCTGTAGGTCATAGTATCTCATTTCATAAATTCGATTAAATTGATGCTCGATGAGGTACATTCGAATGATGCTAATCATGTCATGTATAAGTGCGCGGAGTTTCAGCAAATCGAATCATTTTCGTATTGATACAAACAAATTTCAATGCGAAACAAAAAAAAAAAAATGAATCGATGTTCAAATGTCGTGAGCGTTTTTCCATCGGTCTAAACATTGATATCAGAATTTGTATAGACGTGGAAAATCGTTTACGACGTTTGAAAACTAGCAACGAATTATTACGGAGCAAAATCAACCTCCCTCGATGCCAAAGTGTACGTCGACATAGTTTAATAGCGCACAGAGAAAGACAGCGCATATAAAACGCTTTAAATATTTGATCATCGTTCATGTTTTGCCTGTATTCATCGTTGTTTGATCAACATCTATCTCGTAGTAATTGACACTTGGTTGCACACGAGTCTTTTGGTTTTTTTTTTGTTGTTAGTGCATGTTTGCATATTTTGTGTGCTCTCTGCTACAACATTTTTCGATTTACCATCATCATCATCATCAAAAACAACGGAGAAATATTATTACATCTGAAATGTGAGCCAACTATTCAAATCGACCTTCGCGAGTATATGTGATGCAATTTAGTGTTCGCGTTTTTTTAGATCGAATGATGCATACATAGCGGAATATTTAAAATTGGTTGTTGTTCCTGTAATTTTAGTCACATGCTTATGTAATGTGCACCAGCAATTTTCAAAAAAAAAAGTTGCAACACACCAACAACTACAACAACAAAAATAAACCACCAAAGCACATTTTATTTATGTTGGTTTGCATTTCTCATTTTTTTTTCCTCTTGTGATTTTACTTTCTCTCTATTTATTTCGTATTTTTCTGTCTTTTTTTTAAGAAATAGTTTAGACTGAAAATGCATTTAGTGAAAATTTGAAAAAAGCGATTCATTTAAAAGTGGGTATTTATGGGGTATATTTTTAATGGTTTCCTTCCAGATTTACCATATACAAAGTACATAAAGCATCGAAGAAAAAACGCGAGAAATCATCGGCGAAGAAAGAGCGCAAAGCAACAAAAACATTAGCCATAGTCTTAGGTAAGTTACGAAACGGTTGAGTTGAGCCGATTTCTTTTTTTCATTTATTTTCATCGTTGATTCTTTGTTCCATTTCAATTTTCACACTTGAAACTAGTAAGCAGCGAGAGAGAAAGAGAGAAAAAAAGTAAGAGGCGAAAAGTTCGTGTTCAGCAATTTTTTTTCTCTTCATCTGCTGTAGTTATTGTTTTACTCGACACGGGGATTTATGTTGAACGAATGATTGCGCATTTCGGTAGCATGGGCGCTGATCGCAGTTATACACGTGCGCTCGTCCAATTTTCAGATTATTTACGCTGATGCCGAGCGCATTTTGAAGCTTACCGAATATTTCACACTTGCGAAAAATTTGTGTGCAGCTTTTGTATATGCCATATTTCGTTTCGGCAGCAGAAAATTAGAGAAACAAAAAAAATAGAGAAACAAACGAACAAAGAATGAAAGAAAGCGCACGCTTTTACTCAGCCACTTTGTGTATGTTGCACTTTCAAACAAATCGTCCGAGAAACGTGCAATTCTATTTATTCTTTTTTGTTTAGTTGTTGTTATAGATGCCGTGTGAAACATAAAATCCCATTCAAGGTTGGTTTGAACCAACAATTTGCAAAGAAAATAATTCCAATTGGAAAAAGTTGTATTTATATTTTTTTTTGTGTGTTCTTTCGCTATGTCGTAGTTATTTTCTTTATTTCATCCGGCTTTGTAGTAAAACTTTTTTTAAACGATGTGCAAATTTCACGATGAATATATTTCTCTCTCTCTTTCTCTTTTTCCGTATTTTTTTTTCCTTTCACCATCGTATTATTGTTACTGCCGTTGTTGCTGATACCACTGACGCTGATGATACCATTGCATTTGCTGATTCTCTTACGGTAACTACTGATGCTATCTCGCCGAACTTGTAATGTTTTGTGTGCGCGACGTGAATACGTCTGGATATTAAACGACGCTGGATTTTTCTTCGGGAATTGGCGATCAATGAATGCAGGTGTCTTTCTATTTTGTTGGTTGCCATTTTTCTCATGTAATATCTTGGATGCAATGTGCACGATATTCGGATTGCAATGTTCACCGAGTGTTATAGTATTTTTATTCACGACTTGGTTGGGTTATTTGAACAGTTTCGTAAACCCGATCATTTACACCATTTACAATCAAGAGTTTCGAAAGGCATTCAAAAAAATCATGTGTGGAAACAGTTGTGTAAACAGTTGTATGAACAAATAAAACGATAACACTATCATAACACTGTCGTATGCGATCGCTTAATCAAAGAAAAGAGAATAACACTAGACTATTTTTTAAAACACAAAAAATAGCCAAACGGTTGAACATCGGCTCAATTTTCGAATCGATTAGATGACAAAAACATCAACTCATTCCTAAACTTACTACAATACATACAGACAAAAATACGAATTAAACAGCGTTTTTAGATAAATTATAAGATAAAAAAATAACGTTTTTAACAAAATAATAGATACATAGACAAATGGTTGTAAATATACAGATTCGATACAAAATTAATAATAATATAAAATACATCATTCCATTATTAATACATTGAATGGTTATGAAATATATTTCAAATGTAAATTTATTTAGGGAAAATTTAACAAAAGATAACTTCGCATGTAATTTTTTTAAAAATAAAAACAAATTCAATAAAAGCAAAGACATTTCATTTGTACATATATGATGGTTGAAGATGAAAAATAATAAACCGATAAACGGTAACCAAGCAAACTAAACAAACATACAACATGCATAACTAATAATCAAAGTTCTATCGAATAAGAGAAAATATTAGGTAAATTTATAATTATAAATATTCAAAGTTGCTAAAAAAACAGACAAACACACACACACACATAAAGAAAATTGACTCATATAGCAATGTAAATAATTTAATTGTATTGTTGTTTGGCACATTGATTAAGTTATCGTTATAATGCAAATCAATTGTAAATATAGAAAGAGTGTTTGGATGCAATAAGCAATCCAAAAATCTACGTGTAAATTGAGGTGAGACAAAAAAAAATATTGAAAAGACAAATCTAATCAAAACGATTATGTTCTATATCATTCCATAGCCATTAAATTATAATGTGTATATTGAATCGAGGTGCTCAATCGTGAAGCCGTTTCGATACATGTATATGCACGAGAAACCAAATAACTTGTGAACCAATGATATGTGTAGCACGTAGAAATTGATTTATTTGTGACGATTGTCCCGAATGTAAAACAACAGAAGCAACAACAATTGCGTGTTGACGATAGTTGAACAAATACATATCGCTTTTGAATTCTCAACATACAAGCAATCTAGTCCCTTTTGAGATGAAAAGCCATACATAACCTACTTTAATGCTGATATGTGCAAATGCTTTTTTCCCCAACTTTTATACTCTCCTTTTTCATCATCATCTTTATCATCGATATTGTTTTTCTTTCATGTTCTTTAAACAACATTTCATTCGTATGGCATTCTCGTTCGTATGTAGCTAACGACGCAAATCTAATGGTTTCATTTGGAATATGAAAATCTATTCATCTCATAAATGCATAACCAAAAATGCATCTGGAAAAATCGTAATAAATTCCCAATGACTCCGTTCGATTTATCCATACACATACAAATTTCAATTCACATGCATTTCGTTTCTATCCGCAGAGAGATCGAATATAAATAGAATCTCGGACACAATGCACATATGTTAAAATGCTTCCATTTTTAAGTCGATTGTATAAATCATCAACAGAACGATTGCACTCTGTCGTGACACACAAACCGTGTTGATTTGCTGTTATTTTTCATACTGACCATTTTCCGTTGTGATTTATGACCCCCCCTTTTTTGTGCCAGTCATTTATTATGTGTGGAAAAATCGCTATTTCAAGAAAAACGAGAAACACATACACGAAAAACATGCAATTGAAATGCATTTGATCTAATCACAAATAATTTTTACAACAAATGCATTTCATTTTTCGAAAAAAAAAATGAGCCCCAAATAATGAATAAGCAAGTATGCGACTATTTTGTTGTTTTCTTGAAATCATCGATTTTTCACATTGCAACAAATATTTGCTTTGAATAAAAAACAACAACAAAAAATATCTTAATATAAATCTTTAAGCAACTAATGAAATATTAAACTCGGGACTATCGAAATAGAACAAAAAAACAGTATTATAATAATTAATGTGAAATAGAAAATCAAGATGAATATATTCCGCTGTTTAAAGCTCAAACTGATTCGTAGTATAGATATCGCAAATAAATAGACGTCAACACGGTTGAAATCATGCTCAAACTAAAACCTGAACAAAAAACAAACATACAAACAATTGATCGAGATTTATATTATATATCTATATATTATGTATAAAAAAAGATGGATTTGACGAAATCACCTAAAATGTATATGATAAATGTTTAGCATGCATCAACTATAAGCATATTGACCGCATTTAAAGTTTATCCATTTCATAACGAAGAGAACGGATTTTAAATGGCAATGTTAAGGAAATTGAAACCAACACAAGCACATACACATACAGATGATTTTCCCTCAAATAAAGCTGCTGTTGAATAAATGTTATAAATTAAACGATAAATATATTTTATGTAAAAAAAAGAAAAGAATGAAAATTAGTCCAATCAGAAATCTCTCTGAACACAAATTCAATCACATTGATGTTACTTAGCCATATTATATAAATTTAAATAAATAATTTCCGGTGAGAGATTCGAATCAAATCGATTGATTTTAGGCGCTTGAATGAAATGTTTAAAAATTCATTTAAAAAAAGGCAAATTAATTTGATATGAGCAAATGATTTATTTATATTATGATTAGCGTAAAAAATGTACACTTATTTTTACTACAATTACAGGGTATTTGCATTCGCGTAATTCACGATAAAAGAAAAAAAAAACAAGAAAAACAAACAAACAAGAGAGAGAAAATGAAATTGGAAAAGAATACAACCTTTTTACTTTTGTATCAACTCACAAAAGATTGTTGTGCATGCATTTCAATTTACAATAGATTCCCTAATTGTTGGCATCGAAATTGCATTCTGCTAGAACTGATATCTAACTGAATTTTATCCCGAGAGTAGTTTATCTGCCATTCAAAAAGCACACCAAACCGTGTTGATTGAATGAAATAATCATGGGAATTCTGTTGCAATGCTTTCATCACTTATGCAATGCGTACTTTATTGTATGAAAGAGAAAGAGATCGTGTGTGAAGTGATTAAATTATACCCGTTCGCTCGATGGAAACTCCCTTAGCTAAACACAACAAATGCTATTTCTCCATTCAATTTGGTTGTTGAATCTCTCTCTCTCTCTATCTCTCGCTCTCTCACTCTCGCTCTACCCGTTTTTCCATTTGACTTGTTATACATACATATATAGACTTTATTTAATGATATTTATTTATTTGTTAACAAGCTTTCAATGCTCTCCTCGTTGCCATGCTATCATTTATTTACATCACTTGATACATATAATTCAATCAAACGCTCTACCGATCGATTTCACAATGGCAAAATTTAAACTTAAACCAATACAATTTAGCAGCGAATAGAAAATGGTGGAAAAATGAACGTTTAAATCAAATCTCTCTCAAATATAGAAACAAACATCAAATCAATTCCAATTTAACCGTAAAAAAATAACAACAACAACAAAATCATCAGAAGGATCGAGAGAAAAACAACTTTGAAATAATGACATGTGTATAGAAATAAAATTACATCACAGCACAGAAAAAGACATAAGAAAAAAAACGATAGCAAACAAAAAACATAAATGACTATTAAATAAATGTACAGAAAGTAATGTCAAATAAAAACATTTATCGATATGTTTGAAATTCACTCATTTACTTTTTTTAAATGAACGGTTCTTGTGTGTCTTGGTAAGTATCACTTATTGAATTTTTTGTCGTTTTCAATCATTTTTACTCGAAATTTGAGTGCTTTTCATATAAATGATATAAAATGTTTTACAAACAGGAAATTAATTTTATTAAATGAACAGACATAAAATATTGACAAAGTAAAGTTGTCGCTTTTGATGTTAAAAATTCTTTCTTTTTGCCAATCGATTATTATTTACTTTGCTGATTGACATCTTTTCGCCATTAATCCGAACGTTTTGTACGGTTGTCATATGTGACGTCAAAGCAAATGATTCAACGAACAAAATGATAACGAAAACTTGGAAAAAACATTTTGACCTCGAAGAATCTATCATAAAATGTTACCATGCTATTTTATTGACATTTTTTTATCGTAGATGCCTTAAATACAAAATGAGAATGGCATCGTTCCATCAAATTTCATCGGGGAATAATTTATGACAGAGCTTATTTTTAAATAAATGCTCAAGAAAGCCATTATTAAATGAGTTCAAAAGTTCTCATTCAATGGATTTTTTCTTCTTCGATCTAAATTTCAAAAATAAAAATTTCGGAAGGAATTTGAAACAGTTAAAAGTTGCTGACGAACATATACCAATCAATTGAAATAGAATGGTCGGTGGCTGGATCAGCCGAGAATTAAATATTAATTCAGGTATTTTGTATCCATGATGAAGAAACGTTTCAATGAAATTCGTAGACAAATTTCCCAAATAAGATCATGAACACGTTACGTACACCTACGTGTAAAACAGTCATGTGCGTAAACCCACCCCCCCCCCTGTGATATTGGCAGAAATTATTCGAATTTGCTAGGGATTTTAACGAAAAAAGTGAAGAGCAAAAAAACATGATTTTATCGTCATTTCCTGAGGTTTTTGCGGAGAAAATTCTTTCAATTTGCTAAGGATTTTCGCCAAAAAAGTGAAGAGCAAGAAAAAAAAACGAAATTTGTTGTTCAAATTAGAGAATTTTTAGTTTTTGAAAAATCAACCCCCCCCCCCCCTGTGAAAGGTAGCCCGCACATTACTGGCGTAAAAATTAGCAGACGCATTTAGAAGTTTCAACAAGTTTCACTAAAAGCAATCTTGACATTTAATTGGGATTCTTCTATGAATAATAATAATTTTATATTAATTAATTTGCACACAATGTGCATTTTTCTGTCTGGATTACAGAATTTAACTCATTCATTTATGTCTGTTGTTTGCAGACATATATGATTAGTTGTTTGTTGTTTGGTTTTTACATATTCGATAGCATTATTATTAATGCATTTAAGTCATCAGAAAATCCAATCATACCACTACGAGCACACGAACATACGCCAACATTTTCTAAGTACCCCATTTCACCGAATTAGAGTGTTGTAATAGAAGCAAGTAACTCGTGTAAAAGTTTCGTAAATGTTGTTTTAAGAAATTGAATAAATAAATGCCGCGCATAAAAGTCAAAATGGCTTAAACAAAGTGCAACGATGATGTGATGTGCCGTAAAATGCTGTATTAATGTAGAAACGAAAGCGTGTGTCTCATTTTCTTTATGTAATCGCGACCGAAGATCTCTCGTGTGATTTCTACGTAATTTTAATGAGCAAAAGTTAGAAAAGCATATGACTGAAAAACCGCTGGGAAATCTTAGTGTTCTTTTTTCTTCGTTGTTTTGGTGTGTAAATGCAGCGAAAGTTAATGTTCTTAATTCATAAATTTATGTTATTATAATAATAGATATATTAAAATAGAGTGAAATATTTGTTAGAATAAACACGTATGTTCATAAATAAACCGCATCGCGTAAATGCCACATAAAAGCAACAACGATGCGTATGAAGGCGTTCTAACTGAATGAGTGTTAAAAATGAAACAGAACCACTTTTCATCATCTTCATGTACGAACCGAAAAGAAATTCGGTGTGCATCAAATTAAATGAGTGGATATCATAGTTTACAGACATCAAACTGTAGGTACCGACATTTCTCATTTTAGAACTTAAACAGTCGAGATTATTTAATAATAAGAAATCAACTTCAAAATTTAGTTTCAACTATGTGATATTTTCTACCCCCGGTTGCTGATTCCACGTATTATAAATTTGTGTAATTTTGTTAAGGTTTTGACGGTTTTTCACATTAGGCAACGTCGACGAATAGTTTCACAATATAATTTCGCTATATAACAAACACATTGAATAAACAGGAAAACACTTGCTAAAACAGCAATCTATTCATATGTTTAAGCTGTTGTACGTTCGTTGAAAAGGTGTACATTTTATGGTTTAAATGGTGTTTACCATATGCAAAACTATAAATTAGAACTCATATTAATGCACACGCATTTCTAGGTCGTCCCGAAATCTTGACTCTTTGCATGCATAACATCGACGCATCAATGTGTCTCTTTCTCCGTGTGTGCTTGTGCTTAGAAATGGTTTTGTGCCTTGAAATAGTTTCGTCTGGGGTGTAATCACTCTTTTATACTCCAAACATATACGCACATCCACCACGTAAAGGGATGATATAAATTAGCAAAAAAAGACGTTCACAGTTTTCACAGCACTTTTGTTGTTTTGCAGAAATTTTTTAATTACATGCTTAACAATGGACGCACAACGACGTTATTGTGTCTGTGTGCCATTCAGAATGAATTTCTTTTTCATGATGTCCTTTGAACCGATAAAGTACTGACTGTTGCACACACATACGTAAATTGCCTTCATTAGAAATTTATGCTTCAGCGTGAATAATGACGTCATGGCATGTGCTCCATTTGTGATGTTTCTTTTTTCGATTTTTTTCACGGTGTTGACATTGTGTGTAAGAGTGAAAGCAAAAATTAAATAAGGACGGACAATGCACGATGTATATGCAACTGTACGATTGTCTATCTGCGAAAACAACAACGATGACATATCTAGCTGCCGCACGAAGGAATAGCAATTATAAAAAATTAACTCTATGCAACAATAGCATGGATTCAGATAACGCTGATTCTTGTATACATTTTTGTTCATTTTTACATATTTTGCGCACACAATGTTTCTCATTTTTTAGAGGAAATTATGCTTTTCAACACTTACCCTTCGGAATTTTGTGCAGAAACATTTCACATTACAAATTCGCCTTTTTTTGTCTGAAAAGTTTTTCAACTTTTACCATGTAATTTTTTTCGCAACACACAATACACTTTGCATAAAAAATGTAGTAATTTAATATTTGAAAAAAAAAAAAAAAATGTTTTCACTTTTCGCTTTTTTCGTTCGTCTATGTTGTTTATTTTTACAAAAACCGCAATCAAAAGGAAAAACAAGATGAAAATATTTTTTCGCGGGAACATTTTTACATTGTCACCCCATAAAAAATTGACGTGAAAACAATAAAATAAAACCAATTAATTTTGAATAATTCGTTTTTCTTCTTCCTCCTCTAGGCCTTCATGCGCTGCATATTCATAGTGTCGATTGAAAGCAAAAAAAGCGTAAATAATTCAGTAGATTACGTAAGTGAATTATAACAAACAACTGGTAAAATGTAGTCTCTGTTAATAAATGTTGATGGCCAGTTTGGTTATTAACTTTGCGTGCAGTGAATGTGTGGCTGAACGAAAAAATAATCAAGATTGGTTTATAACATAACCAATGGTATTTATGCGGCACAAAATTAAACGTTTTATAAATCGGCTTCGATTTCTATCGTAATTTGTGATTTGCAATTTCTAACAGTTTGCACGATGAAGATGGGACCAAAAAGGCGCTGCCATTTCGGTCGGATAAGATAACGAGTAGAAAATTATGTTGCAATCAAATAAAGTAACACTTGTATACGAAAACAAGTGTAAAGATATTTTCTAATAAAGTAGCAAATTTGCGACAAGCAAAACTCATAAAAAACAGACAAAATCCAATCAATGCAACGAACAAACTCCATTGGAATGTGCTTGATGAATGAAATGATCAAATCATGAGACCGCACATCGTTTACGTCCTGCCTTCATCCATTTTGGCTTGTTAGCATCTGTCGCGTAT